TGGAGATGAAACAGAATCAACATCTGGCCCTGATGCTCTGAGCTTTCGAGCTGTCTTTGGTGTAGCTGGAGATGTCCTTTGTGGCACCTCAACAGAGACAGTCCTTCAGACAAAAAACATATGAGAAGGCGGGCAACAAGTGCAGACAAGACATGAACTATCAGCAGAGAATGATTTCACAACTGCCATACAGATTAACTTTAGAAGGGGAGCCTAGGCGTACAAGGTAAAGTTGTTGTCATGTGACCAGGAGGTCACGGGTTCGAGCTGTGGAAACAGCCTCTTGCAGAAATACAGGGTAAGGCTGCGTACAATACACTCTTGTGGTCCGGTCCTTTCCTAGACCCCACGCATAGCGTGAGCTTAGTGGTGCACTGCCCTTCATGCAGATTAACTTTATAGAACTGAGGTAAAGTATCTCTTTTGTATTGTATTATAAGTAGATGTTTAAATAATAGATTTTCAAAGATCGATCACATATCAAATATCTGCAGCTGCAACATGAAAAGACAAAATGGAACTCTGAATTATTGTTCTACTACTCCTCGCCTCAGGGTCACTTTAAAGAGTAGAGGCATATATTGAAAGATTGGAAACTGTTGCATTCTTTTATTGAATCAGTGATGAGTTTATATACAGAGAAAGTCTAACTAACCAAAGAAATAGGCTACGTATTTGAAATTTAAACTCAGCTACAACAAACAGATAAGATACAACAACTGGATAACGTAGAAGCTGGACAGTTGAGTAAATGAAAGAAAGGAATCTAATCTTCTCCAATACACTTCACTTTTCTTTTTCGGGAGATAGCAAAGCTGATCTTCTTGAACACCCAATAGCATGTTAATTTTCATAGCAAAATTCAGTTATGAACATCTCAAACATATATTTCACAACTATATTAGCTTCTTAAGACTAGTATTTTAATTTACTGTCGCGGAGCAGCGCCACACTCAAAGGACCAATAACTCAAGACAATCATCATCTGCTGTTTTGGAAGTCAATTTGGCTATGTAAGAATGAAATAAAAGGGACCAATTGAAACTAAGAATTTGTGGTACATAAATTATTAAGATACTCTTGAATTGATCTAACAACATAACCAATTTTCATATTCTCATGGAAGAAGGGGCGGAAAATTGAACAAGCAACAATAAGGCTTTTGAATTTACTCGCAAATGAAGATCAACAAAAGCAGAGTGAATGAACTAGAAATACCTTGCTTTTGGTGTCTGCATATTAGTTTCCTCTCAGCAGTCAATGTAGAAATAACAAACTATATTTGCTTTCGTCAAAGTCCCACCTGACCCACAATAAAGGATACATTTCAGACGATTCATTGCTGAAAAAGAAATGCTATTGTATGGACATATGCAAACTACAACAACAACAACAAAAAAAAAAAAAACCTAGTGAAATCTCACAAGTGGGGTCTGGGGAGGGTAAAGTGTACGCAGACCTTACCCTTACCTTATAAAGGTAGAGAGGTTGTTTCCGAAAGACCCTCGGCTCAAGAAGGACATATGCGAACTATAAATAGATAATGGTTCATCAAGGAATCTGAAAAGTTTAACACTAAAAATGGATATAACACCAAACAAACAACATTATCCCTTCAACAAAACACCATATAAACTACCTCCACTCCCACTAACAAACTAACAATAGGAGGAATGAAAACAAAAAAGAAAAACAAAAAATTGGAAAGAAGGCAAAAAGTTGCAATCAAGAAACAAATATTATTATGTAAGCCATTTATCAACTTTCTTAACTTCTACTTCAACTTTTACTCCAGTGCTTACACTGTATAGCAATAACATCTTTGGAACAACGTGGTGCTTAAGAAAATGGCATTTGAAACCACATTTTAGCAAACATTTCAAAAGTCCCCATTTAACACAGTATCATCAGTGACTTTTAAGGACATAAACAGATAATGCTTCCCAAAAAGAAGGGAAAACTGGAAGTCCATCAACAGATGCAGCACCAAAGTAAGATGCATTATTAGCTTCTCTACACCCCTGTCCCCTACCCAAACTAATAAATCATGTTTACACTTAAGATAAAAAGTATCTTGGGGGACAGTTTATTTATGTAAAATTACAAAGCAAACTAAATATATAAAAAACTAAATAAATTTGGGGTGTGTTTAGTGTGACCGAAATCATTTTCCATGGAAAATAATTTCCTGAAAAATGTTGTCTGGTGTTTGGTTAGTGCTTGTATCTTTAAAACAACAACAACAACAACAACAAGCCCAGTATAATTCCAAAAGTGGGGTCGTGTTTGTATTATTAAAAATTAATAATAATATCAGCAAATCAGGTTTTTTGATTAAACTATTGACTACTAGAGATTAATAATAATGTTCATGTTAGTTGAAGCAAACTAAGCTCCCGTTTGGACATAGATTTTTGCTATTTTTTTCAAAAAAAATTGAAAACATTATATGTCTGTGGAATTTGATCAATTTTTGAAGAAAAATTTTCAAGTTACAAAAACTGGTTTGGGTGTAATTTTTTTCTTCCGCTCATAAAACTTCAACAATTTTTCAAGTAAAATGCATGTTCAAACACAATTTCAAATTCAAAAAACTATTTTTCAACACAACTTCAAAAACTCTTTTTCGCAAGTTTCAACCAAATCTATGTTCAAACGCTAGCTAAGATAGTTGCAAGGAAAATAACTTCCTCCTTTAAGTGAGTAAAGTTATTTTCCTCCTTTTGATGGAAAATGTTTTTACTTTCATCATATCAACATTTTCCTAGAAAGCTTTTTCCTTCCTACCAAACACACCTTTAAAGTTTCTGGATATTATTTTACTCTCATTCATGTTTATGCTAAGTGATATAGACCTAAAAAAAATTAGAAACTCTTCATTGCCCTTTCTAAGTAGACCAAAAAATGAAGAAGAGAATCAGTTTCATCTGCACACACGTTACACAAAGCCTCCAAAACCAGAGTCCTAAAGCTATATATGTCAACCTACATTGTAAAACAAACACAACACTTCCTCAAAGACTGAAACTTTATCAGAAAAGAAACCAACCCATATGAGAAATCAGTGCTCTCAGCAACTACAAAGTTCATATAAGGAGAGGGGAAGACCAAACATTCCAAAGAACAAAAGCAGAATAAAAAGCAAACCTTCTTTGACACTTCTGAGATACAAATGAATAGCTTTGAACTTACCAAAAAGATCTCAACCAAGTGAAAATCCAGCTTTCTTGCGACAAAAAAAGTGAAAAAAAAAATGTGGCTCAAGGTCCAAGAAAATGAAGCAGAAGAAAGAACCCTAAAGAGGAGAGAAGAAGAGTGGGGGTGAAGAGCTCGAGGGTAGAGCTAAATTTGTGTTCGTACACACACACACACACTACTTAGCAGGAGAGTGGTAGGCTAGCTTCAGCTAAACTCACTACGCAGTTTCCCAAGTCAGTGTCCAGTACTGTCTTCTTTCACTTCTATGTTTGTTTGTATTTGTCAGTGTATGGATAGAGAAAGTAAAACCGAACTTAACTATAAAAAGAAGAAAAATTAATGGAAGATAATAAAAGTGCTGATATGGAAAAATTAATGCCCACGCTCGGGAAACAAGCGCTTGACCATGTGCTCTTTTAATTTATTGGACTCAGGTTAAGGAGAAAATTTACTCCCATTATCTTATACTCCATTTTTATCACTTAATCGCAATTAAATGTATAATTTTTTTAATTTATGATTCTTATGAATAAATTACTTTTTATTGTATAAATGCTGAATAAGCATAAATATTTTACACGATGCCAATATCTTTTAATTTTTATTTATTTACTGAATTATTCTCATATACCTTTACGACGGTGTAAATCAGTAAATACATAATCTAGCATATTCATTTTATTTGTTATAGTACTAGTATATATTTTGTAGGAAAAAGGTCTAAAATTACCCTTTTACAAGCCATTTCAGTGTTGTATATACTCCTATATCTAATGTGGCATCACATAATAAAAATATTCATCCTCATATATTTGTATGATTGGAATATGTTTCTTTTGCAAATAAATTATCAATTAATTATGGTTAAGTAATGTATATTTGGAACTTGACTTATTACTTAACCACGATAAATTAACATGATTTGGTAGATGTACCGGGGTCTGAGTAAGTTTAGGTTTATTAGTTCTTTTTTCTTTCTTTTAATGTTAATTAGTTTTTGACATTTGTATCAATCAGAAATTTTTAAATACAGATGCATCCTAATCTATAGCTTTTTAACTTATGTCTCCTTGTCTTTTTTTCTTATCAGCAATTGTTTATTTTTTTTCTCATTTTTGTCACTGCTTAAAGATTTGGATTGTTGTAGACAGAGGATATCAAGAACTGATGATGGCTAAACTCATCCTACTGCTGATAGTAGCACATCATGTTTCCATTTTCAATTTGTCATCTGTTTTCTATCTGATGGTTCACATGATATCCAATTCATATGTAATAATTTCCACTACAGATTCCTTTTCGAATTAAGTAACATTTTTTTAATAACGTAACGTTTTTTTAATAACGTCAGGACAAACTTGTGGACACCTCGACTAATTACATCACCTCCTTTTCTAATCGAGCTTCCAACCAATAGGTTGTGAGTTCGAATCACCCCAAGAGCAAGGTGGGGAGTTCTTGGAGGAAGGGAGCCGAGGGTTTATCGAAAACAGTCTCTCTACCCAAGGATAGGGGTAAGGTATACATACAAACTACCTCCTCAGACCCACTAGTGGAATTATATTGGGTTGTTGTTGTTGTCGTCATCTTCTACTTTAATTAATATTTGTTTTCTGGAATGTCAAACTGGCTTTCAGAACTGAAGATACTTGTTCTGACCAGGTCTGAATTGAAGTTCTGTTTCACAGCATAGAAAACTTTTTATGATTAACATTCAGATGTAAGGCCATCTTTGCAAGCATCTCCAGAATTCTTGAAGGCAAATACCAATTGATCTAAGGACAGAAAAACAACAATGTCCATTGACTAAATAAAGAAATAGTTTCTCTTTTCACTATCTTGTGTACATAATAAAGATGGAATCATATAATCACAATGAAGAAAACGTTTTCTCTAAAATAAATTCACAACTATCACAATCTGAAATCACCAACATTCGTGGGAGGAAAAAAAATATTAAAAAGCAAGTATCAATTTTTATTTTTTTTTGATAAATTAAAAGGCAAGTACCATGCAGGCATGCACATAAACTAATGACTTCATATTGATTGTATGGAGAAGTTGAAGTTGCACGAATCGATCAACAAATTGTTTCAAATCCTTATATCTTCTCTGCATTTAACTGGTATTGCAGGCCGAGGGACAGCTTTATTACTTGTGACAAGATGAGTCAGTTGACAACTCCATTCGCATAAACGTCAGCAATAGAAGTATTTGTGTTTGTGGAGATACTTTCGATCTTTGGTGGGCCTGAATGCCGCCTTGTAATGGCTGGTGAAGCTGAGTAAGAGAGTCGCTTCTTCACAGAACCTGCTGATCCCTTTTCTGGTGTTGTACCGTTTTCCATACCCAATGGGCTTTGCAACCGCGTTCTTGCTTTTGCTGACTGAGTGGACGCCATATAACTTGGCACCGAAGAGGAGCTTGCCAAGCTCTCCTCATCATCTCTTACTGATGACCCTGCAATGCTGTGCCTCCTGTTCCGTTCTGATTGAACACTAAACACGCTTCGGGTGTCATCATCTTGGTTTATTGCACTGACTCTCGCACTTTCTGGTTTTAGTTTTCTAGCTGTTGGAGAAGCGCCTGGCTTGGAAGGGGTAAAAGGGAACTGGCGGCTTGAACGACGGTTTGGCTTTTGGCTGGATGGAGAAGACGGGAGTTCAGAATTCAGCTGATGCCGGGCAAATGCCTTTGTAATTTCTCCTCCAGCAATGCTCATACTGGCACTTCTAACAGACATTTGATCACTTTTAAGTTCTTTCTCCGACATGCTTTGGGTTTCCGTTGGCCTAGCACCCATCCACCGCTCTAACCAACTCCAACCCCATTGAGGATTGGTTGGATCCATAAACAACAAACGGGTAGATTTTGATGACTTCTTCCAGGTTTGCTGTCGAGTCAACAATTTCGACATAATCAATGAGTAGTAATGTCATCAACAGTTCACCAGAAAAGTCATAATGTTAAACATAGAAAGATATTCCTTTAAAGAATGCACCGTGTATTGGTTAATATGGGAAAACAAAAAGAGATGAAACCAAGATATCTGCAATAATATCATCATTAAAATTTGAGTTTATTTCTTTTGATAAGCATCATTATTAATATTTGACTGTACAAAATGTGAGAGGTCAAAGTATGATCCCTAGGAACATCACCATGGCACAATGGCATGAATACATCTAAAGCCCACCTTGGGCGCCCTCTTTCAAAATGTTAATCGCCGTATATAAAAGAGTGATTAGTGGAGTACCTGGTGGGAATATGAGTAGGCTAGTGCCCTTTCTCGTCTTGTTGCAGCTTCATATTTGCTGAGTAAACTTGCTTCAATTTGCTCCTTCGATTGTAGACTATCATCCCATTCCTCCCCTTTCTATCGAAACAGAAAACGGTAAGTGTAATTAGACAAGAAGCATTTAAGAACTATACATTCCCACTAGGATATGCATGCACAGTATACATCCAATGAGCCCCCCCCCNAAGATCTTGAGCCGTTAAATACACCTATAGCACATTGTCAAAAAGCAAAAAGGCTCGAGAAACTACACCCTAAAGCATTTGTTCACAAATTTGGGACATAAGATGAGTTGCCTCCAATGATATTCCAAAATAGAAAATTTTCAGTGTGTAATGATAGGATGTCAAATGTATACACCAAATTCCATCTTGCAGAAAGTTTTGACTTCTGCGCTCCCACAAATTCGGTATTTAGCATGTACCAAGGAACTTCACTAAAATACTGAACACAAGCTGTATGGCATCACATTTGTTTTGAGAACAGATTCATCTCAGATACGTCTTAAAGAAATGTGGAATTAAGGAAGAATACTGACCCTCAAACTCTCAAGTTCAATGTGGAATTAAGGAAGAATACTGACCCTCAAACTCTCAAGTTCTTTCGCATGTTTCTGCATAAGCTGTCTCTGGAGAGTTCGGTTCTCCTCCAACAACCTGCTCCGTCTAGAACTAATCTGAGACTGGGCACGTGATAGAGTCTGCATACATTTCAAAGTATTTGCAGTTTGCCGTTTGACAGTAGGTCCATCAACTAATGTTTTGAGTCTAACAAGTCCTCTTAAAGCCCTCAATGCCCTTCTGGCCTGCAAATGAGATTTCCCCACGGAAATTTATATCTCAGTACCAGATCATTTATTACATGTTCTCACAAGTACAGCAAAATTAAACCGCAATGTAGCTTTCTACAAAGGCGGAGTTAGGATTTTGAGTTTATGGGTTCTGGATTTCAGAAAAAGGCAGTTTACTGGGTCCTGGATACATTATTTATACATATTAAATAAATTTCTAAACAAAAATACAGGGTCTGGGCCAAAGCTAGTGGGTTCTGCAGAACCCGTATGCAAGCTTGCGGCTCCGCCCCCGGCTTTCTATTCCTTTATTTTTTTTACTGAGAGAATCAAGTTTATCATAAACTATAAAAAAGAAAATTTTCCGGGAAATGGAAAAATCACTTGAATGCATATGAGTACAGATGCATACCAGATATCCTCGAAATGCAGTCTGAATCCTGATTGCGGCTATTTCCTCCTTGGATTTTCCTACAAATTGATTGACTGTAGTTAACCGAACAACCTCCGCAGCAGCCTGGGCAGCTGCAACAGCAGCTTCAGCAGCTGCTGCCGTGGCAACTGCAACAGAATAAGCATGTTTAGTCTGCTCTTGTTCCACTTCAATCAGTTTGACCTCTTCCACCGGAGGAACAGGATGAGGAGGAGAAACAGTAGTAACAACCAAAGTTGAAGAATCTGGTACTGGATGCTTTTCTTTCCCGAACCATTTCTTCTTCGATTTACTTGCTTTCTGAAATTGAGATTCAAAAAATGTCAGGCACCATTGATGAAAAGAAAAAAACCTTGTATCATGCTAGAAAAGTAACGTATATGGTTACTTCAAGATAACCTTCTCTGCCTTTTCCTTAGGATCCGGGCTCAGAGCCTTCTTTACTGAAGAAAACCAGCTTCCTTTCTTCCCCATCTTCTGCACAAATTACCCCATTTAGAAGACAACACATACTACATTACAGGAATGATTCAACTGTTTTTTTCTAGAAATTCAGCAAACTAAGTAAAATTACAAAAAGCGAAATATCCAACCTATTATTATGAGGTATCATATGGAAGATCAAAATTTTACACTAATGTACATGTAATTTATAAAAGCTAAGATCACCTCAAGATACAAGTTACAACAACAACAAACCCAGTGGAGTCCCACGAGTGGGGTCTGAGGAGGGTGGTGTGTACGCAGACAGTGGCGGAGACAGTTACCATACAAAGGTTTTGAACCCCCTTGACCACTAAGCTATGTTTTTTGGCTGTGTCAAGGGTATTCAAAACATAATATATAAAGGCAAAACCTTCTAAATCCGCCCATGTACGCAGACCTTATCCCTACCCTAGGGAGGTAGAGAGGTTGTTCCAAAAGACACTCGGCCACCTCAAGATACAAGTTGAAAAACGAAATAGTAACTAAAAGATCTATGAATAATACTTAATGTCTAACCAAAATAACACGTTAGCTGAGCCTACATTATCTAAATCTAATTTCTCAACCAGAGATACAAGCAAGCAAGACCATTAATCCATAATACTAGGCTGAAAATGAGAATCTCATCAATACATAATTTGGCTCTCCTTTTCAATTCTTTCTGGATAGTTCAATTAGCATAAAAAATAAAAATATACAAACTGTCTTGGATTTAAGATAATGCAACCTATATCCCAACAAAAGTTTCTGAAAATGGAAGGTATTTGAATTATGACATTTCAATTAGTAGCTTCCGTTTACTAATGAGTTAAATTTCAAAGAAAAATATCAACTTTACACTACCCATATACCAAAACAGTAAAGAACTTCAAGAAAACAAAAAGAAAGAAAAATCAAACAGGTAGCCAAAACATATATTTTCTTGATGTGATAAAAGGGGAACATATGAATAATACCCTGCAAAATTGGAGCTTCAGAGATCTCAGAAAGCTTCTGTTTTTGTTCAAAGACTGAAGCTTTTTCTGTATATCAAGAATTACAATGTGGCTCTCCTCTGTAACAGAAACAAAAAGATAAGAAAAGAATTGGACCCTCTAATCTTTAGTGACCCTTTTTCATTTGTAGTGACAAATGAGAGAGAGAAAATAGATCTTGCTTAAGAACAATTCCAACAATTGAATGAGAGAATATGAAAGAAAAACAGCTGGTTTTAGCTAAGTATGTGAGTATGTGTGACCCTCCACTTGGAGGAGCTGGAAGAGTGGACCCTACATGAAATTATCAGTTACCCCACCCAACTCACTATTTTTTGTATTTGATGAACAATGATTAGATTCTTTAAACATATTTAGCCGACACAATTTTCATTGTACCGTTAAGCATTTATGGTATCTCCAGTTTTCACATTCCAAAAAAGAAACGAAAATAAAAAAATAAAAAAATAAAAAAATATTAATAATGCTGAGATTAGTAGGGGCATAAGAATAGTACTCCTTAGCTAACTCATTTGATTTGATTGGGTACGGAGTTTAAAAAAAGAGAAGACTTTTGAACTTGTGGTGTAAAATGAGGCACATATATTTTGTGTGGCTATAAATTATTGCATAAAGGTAAATTGTTTTCAAATAAGGAAAATGAGTCATTCTTTTTGACACGGACTAAAAATTAAATAGGTTCACATAAATTGAAACGGATGACGTATTAAATAGGATATATTAGTAATGCTGAAATTATTTCTTATCTACTGTTTGGTTTGGTGTATTAAAAATGACATGCATTGTATAAGGGTATATATGTGCTTATCCATGCATTAAAAATCATGGTATTATTAATGCCATAATTTATTATGCATTAATTATACATCGGATAACACCAAATAGATTGTATATTAGTTATACATAAGTTAAAAAATACTATCAAACAAGAGATTAATAATATAAAAAGTTTATATATATATA